GACATAATTCCTTGAAATTTCAGTAGGAAATGTTTAACAATGCGCTGTTAAAATTTTTTTGAAATCCCATAGAAGATATAGTAAATCTCATGAGAGTGACATTGAATCGAATTAAGGGAAAAAAATGTTTATGAAATTTCAAGTCTTAAGTAAAATTCCCGGCAATCCATGAGGTTTATGCATATACTTGATTGTACATATCATATGCTATTCCAACGAGTAGACATTAGGTATTAGCGATGAAGCTGAAATGAGCAGAATAATCGTCAGCGGAAAATTCAAATTAGGGGATATTTAAGTGTAGGAGAATCAAATAATCATATGTAAAAATGTTTTTCAAGTGCGAAAGAGTTTGTACATTACTTTAAAACATTTGTACACCCCTAGACTCATCTAAGACAAATCTGCTGCTGTCGTATCTTTCGCTAGTTTCAGCTTCATGTATTAGCAGCAGTACATAATGAATAAAACGAGCAAAATTAAAAGCAAAATATATTTTCAAAAAAAAACCCTCGAATTTTGTCCAGCCCTCTACATCATCCATTCCTACACTCCATTAGCTACACAAGCACATGAGAACTGGGTCAGTTGATGCAACCGTAAACACATTCACGTGTTACCATAAATTCCATGTTCACTTTGTGAACACCCAGACCAGGAGTGGTCGCTCGCTATTGTCGCTATTCACCGGGCCACTATTTCCCAACAAAACAGACCGACGAGAGGTCACCTGGACAAAGGCCGATAGAAGCATTCTCGTGAATGTATCAAGGTCATTCATCCAATATGACCAAAGGAAACTGAATGAAAATCCGCATGTATATCCCCGCAAAAAGCCAGCGGAGAAAACTCCCGCGGAATAAAAAAGAAGCGAGCCAAAAGGGTACAAAGAATAAATCAAGAGCTCTCGATTCTTTCTGGTCAAACAAACCCACAATTGGTGGTGGTGCGAGAAGTATAGACGAATGGGATGAATTATATCACAGCTTGGAGGAAAACCATTGACCAGAAATGCTTGGACAAGTCGAATCATAAAGGACGTGAGATAGAATGAATCGTCGGGTAGAACGAAAAAAAATAGAGAGGAAAAAACAAATGGAAGTGGAGAAGGCAAGTGAGAGAGACAGCGATTGTAATTATCTTAATGGAGTTGTGGACACTGGGAGACTCGAGAGCTATCGATTTTGCAGGGTAAGCTCTTGGGTTGAACTACACAATTCGTGAAAAAAAACAGCGCGACAATTCATTTGACAATGTTTCAACGGATTGTTTGTACCGCACAGAGGGATGTTTTTGGTTTTCCGTGAAAATCTCGGAAATTCGAAAATTTGAAGTATGAAAATTTTGTAGTTATTCTGTAATTTTTATTTGAAATGAGACGGTGGGACGGTTGAGGGCCGGTAGTGTCAGAAAACTTTAAAATAATTATAAATGTTGTTTCTTTGTTTTTCACCTTCGAATCTCCAAAAACGACAGAAAAACTTTGAAATCGGTAGGGTTTTAATCAAAATACCCAATATGGCGGCTCATCCCGGTGTTTGAAAAAATTGAAAGAATTTTCAGAGCTCTTTCATTTTTTTTTTAAATTTTTCCTTACACGAAGAGAAATTTTTAATGAAAATTATCCTACCGTTCTATAAAAGTGTATCATGAGTCATCGTTTCCTCATTTCTATCCCGAAATTTAGTAAAAATTAATATATGATGATTAAATTTTATTCTACGTTACAGAAATTTTATCCTGATAAAAAAAAAATTACCGCCCCAGTATAGTAAAAATTATTGTACCGGTAGGGTAAAATTTACCAACCGTTCTAGAATTTTCGTTGTTATGTACATAAAAATTATTGGACTGGAAGGGTAAAATTTGTTATGCGTCAGTACAAAATTTCTGTGACGTGAAATAAAATTTGATCATCATATATTAATTTTTACTAAATTTCGAGATAGAAATGAGGAAACGATGACTCATGATGCACTTTTATAGAACGGTAGGATAATTTTTATCAAAAATTTCTCTTCGTGTAGTATTATTCCAGTTTTTTTAACTGTTCAAAATTTCTCTACTAATTCTTGATCTACCCCTCGTCAACCCCTTGAATTCCTCAATTTTGGCCTTTTTTTATGTACCCCACTTTGCCCCGGTCTCCCCTAAACTGTTTTCCATCCTAAGAAAAATGCATCTAAGAACCATTTGTTTCTCGCAATCAGTAAATTCATTCCGAAAAGTAGAATTTGTCTTTTTCTATGTGTCTTTTGTACCCAAAGGAATTTTATTTCACAACAAAAAATTGTGGATGAAATAATTCTGGAACTGTTCCTCGATGATAATTTCCCTGATATTTTTTTAAATTTACTTTTAGATTTTTTCCAGGGCGTGAGTGAGCCAGTGCTGAGCTGACAAATCGTGGGTATTTCGTGGAGTATACAACACGCCCAGTTCGAGTATGCAACTGTAGGTGAAGAGCAGAAAGCCGCTGGAATGAACAATCCACTCATCAGTGGCCCACGTGCTGGGGCACGTGTCAGAGCGTGCCACAACAACTGGTGCCCCCCAGTCTCTTCTAGCGCCATGTGACCCTCGCATCCACTCCTCGGGCTGATGGTTTATGGACATTTGTAACTATCGGGTGGACGAGTAAATTTCGAGTTTATTCTTCAAATCTTGTTGCAAGAACATATATTAAAGCCTCATTTGCATCCCTATTGTATTTTGTTTAGAATATAGGAGAGAGTTCTAGTTGGAACATTCGTAGGAAATTTCATTCTCAATTTCGGGGAGAAACTTTGAATTATTTGAATTATTAGACAGAAGTCGTTTTTATTCATCTGTCAACATAGATGTGAATTCCACACTCAGAGGAATTGCGCATTTGAATGAAATGAAATTCCTCATTTGAAATTTTTCTGTTTATTTCAACAATATTTTTACGGGAAATTAATAAACACACGAATTCAGTTGACTGAGATTTTTTTAAGTAAATAAAATAAATAATTTATTAATTCTAGATAATTTTTTTTGTAGAATCAAATGGGCGATTTTTTTGTTGTTAATAAAAGATCATTGAATCTTCGTAAATTCTGAATAATGTTTTGATCTTTAATTGATTTACGGCCGGTTGAATCTCTTAGCCAAATGAATCATCAAAATAAATTTATGTCTGGAGTAAATTTATTCCATAGTTGGAGGATTTCAGTGCTTAAATTCAGCCATTCGGCCGGGAATATCGAATAAATGCTTCAAAATTAGTGGCATTATTGGCAAATACTGATGACGTTTTTTTGTGAAATACCTTCGATGAACTTTCGATCAAAAGTGACGGGTAGATTATTTTTATTTATTCCGATACTTAACTGTGGATTTTCTTGAATGAGCTTGGTGGAACTGCGCATTTATCCTCATTAACATGAAGGATTTATCTATTTCTATTCCAAAAGCTATTGATTCGCTTCAAATGAAATTTAAATAATTCAAATAATTTCGCTTGGTTTAATTTGACTGAATTCTGAAATAGGAAGAGAAAATATGAAAAATCATTGGAATAGAACTTGCAAAAAGCAAAAATTCACTACAATTTAATGCTCAAGTTTTATATTCCAATAAAAAACATCGACTGTTCATTATCATGAAAATTTAGAAATTATGGCACTTCTGATGTTCTGAATTAAAAACAGATTCTGATGGACAACATAATTGTCTGTTCAATAATGATTTATTCACTTGAACATGAGTCAATCTCCTTCATCTATGATGACCACCGCAACGTATCATCATCGCTGTAAATTTATTTCGAATAAATTCTCTAATGAAATACAATCAATGATTTATCTGATATAAATAAAGTTTATTTGGTTTAAATATCTCTTTTGCGTTTAATTTGATATTTCATGATGAAATTGGGAAATGAAATGATCAATCAAATGGATAAAACCGTCAAAACGCTAAAAATTCAATGCAATTTAATCTTCAATTCTTATAAAAAAATTCAAATACTCATTTTGTCGTAAAAATTCCGAAATCCCAGCCGTTCCGATATTCCAAATCACAAAAATATTCTGATAAATGATATGATTATCTGTTCGATAATGATTTATTCATTTGGAAATGACTCAACGCCCTTGATAATTAATTTATGAGCGATTCAAACATTTCACTATTAAAATATCTCACTTGATTCAGACGGCAAAGTCCATTTAAACATTAATTTTTAAGATATTTTTCATGTCTGAAAAGTTGACTCATCCACTGCAAAAACTAGGTGTCTGGTAACCATCTGAATTGAAGATGGAAGATGGCAAAAACATCTGAATCTTTAAAAGTGTCTGAAAATCTAACTGATGTCTGAAAATTTCAAACACCGCTTGTATCTAAAACTGATGTCTGTATCTTAATTTCAGACATCTTGGTGTCTGAAATTGAAATACCTCCATCGACTCAGACACATCTTAATGTCTCAAAAGTGTCTACAAAATCGTCCCAAAAATGTTTGAAAAGTGTCTGAAATTCAGACATTAGTTTTCGCAGTGTAAACTGCTTTCGCTCACGCTGATTGATGTCCTCAATATTCTATCATCGATGCAAATGCATCAGATAAACTTGTACCTCCAAAACCTTTTCGCATCTGAAGGATGAAAGTGAAATGACCCGCATGGTGTTTTAAAGTACCATCCAAAGTGGACGCTACAATAAACAGCTCGAGAGGTATAATACGCGTAATCGGCTGTCATACAATGGCTTTGTGCTCGAGAGATACGTGACCAACTGGCGCAGGAGAGCCTTTGGAGGATAGGTGAGTCCTCGTCGAGTCGGACATATGGGTGCTAAAGATCTGAAAGTCATTTTGACTCTCACAAGGACCACTTGAGTTCTGATACCATCCAGTCAACTCCGAATTTCAATTAAAACTTTTTTTTCCATCAAAAAAATGGAAGATTAAACAACAAACTAAACTAAAATGCTTTAAAATTAGAAAATAAAACTGAAATAAAAAAAAAACTCACGTTTACTCTGAAGAGGAGAGTGTGTCTCACATTCCTGTTCTAAAACAAAAGAAAAAAAATGTGAAAGAAGGGCGTAAGAGTGATGACTTGGAAGGACAAATAAAAACGAATAATTCATTGAATATAAACAAATTTTTTCTTTACGGAAATAGAAGTTATGTCAGTTTGAAATAAAATAATTTATAAACCTGTAATAATTTTTCATTCGGAATGGATAAATTGTTTATTTCAAATAATAAAAAATATCCGCAGGAATAAAGCAATGATTCTATCACTTTCTCAGAAAAAAATTGTTGAGATAATAGAATAAATGAAAATACCGATGGAAATGTCGAAAAACAGTTGGAAATTAAGTTGTTCGGTGTGAAAAGTCGAAATAATGAAAAAAAAAGGAAAATTCAGGAGAGAAATGGCTAAGTATGCTGCATAATTCAGAATTTTTGCACAATTTTTTCAGATCTGAGTATCAACAAAAAAAATAATGACATTTGGATGTTTTGTAACCCATCCAGCTATAACCTCCAAGCTTACCCACTCTCAATTGGGGAAATTTTCATGGCACTCAAAAAAATGATGAACTATTGAGGAAAAACTAGTGGGTAATAAATCAAATCTTTCTTGCGAACACGTACAAGTTTCCGATTTTTTTCAGATTTCATAAGAGTTATTTGAACAAATGATTCGGAAAATTATGAGTTTCGGGACAATTACGCCTTCACGCGCAGGCGCGAGATTCGAATGTCAGTGAGCATCATGAGAAAGGTACGGATTGGACCATGGAACTGAAAGAGGGAAAGCATTCGACAGGTTTGCCAACTCGAGAGGCACTTTAATATTATTTCAATAATCAGAAAAACATCCAACAAAAATTATTTGACACCCGTAGGTGATGAGAAAAAATCAATCAATGTGATGAATAAAATCAATATTCAAAAAATGTTCAAATGCATCAAATGTGTTGGAATATTTGAACACAGCTCTTCTGTTTTTCTTCAAAAATCACTCGACAAGGTTTATGACGTGTGGGGAAAGTCCCCAGAAAAGGACTAATTTATGATCCGTTGTGCTCCGAACTCGAGAGCGTTGCAATCCTTACCACATGTAGAAATTCAAAGGAAACTCTGTCCTCTGGAGTCATAAACTTTGTCTTGCTTTTCCCTCAGTAAAGGTTTTTCAAATAGTTAGAATTTAGTCTCTGGACAACGGTCCTCTAGTACAGTCGTGCCTTCCTCGTGCCAATAATAAAGAGTTCAAGTTAAAAGTATTCATTGCGTTACTACATTTATTTATCCACTTTTACCCATATCCCAATAAAATGTTTAAATAGTTACTTGAAAATTGGAAACTTTCGTGCTCAGCAATTGAATCAGGCTCGAGAACAATAAGATTCCCCCCGTTGCACCCCCGGTGATCTACACACGAAACACCTTAAAATACAATTTTCTCAGCTAACGAAATCATTGCGACGATTAAATTAAAAACAAGTCACGGATCAAATTTTGAGTATTGAAAACAGGGATGGCCATCAATATTACATTTCTTCAATATTAAAAGGAGTTCCAACTTACATTGATAAAGGTTTAACTCATCAAAATTAAAATATCACAAATAAAAATAAAAATAATAGTATAATATTAATCATTTAAATTTTCGATTGATAATGTATTAAATAGTTGATAATATAGAACTGTAAATTTTCCATTAAGTAAATAATTCTAATTTCGTAAAAGGTATTTTCAATAAACCAAATAATCGTCACTCTTCCTACCTAAATTATTGATTAATAAAATAATTCAGAATTTGACTTTTTAACTTGACAATTACTTAATGAAAAATTTAAGAGTGATATTACCTATTTGCCGGCTTCAAAATGTAACGGTAATTATGATTTATGAATATAGCTATCGCTGACGGAAAAACGTGAGAACAAAAGCGTTGCCTCCCAAAGCTCAAACAACCGAATAAAATCACGATAGACTAAACTGCGTTTAGTTCCCATCAAGAGGCACTTAATCCACCGGGAAACGCGTTTGGTTACAAGTAACAATGTGGCTTTTGCTTTAGGCAACCCCAAACCCACCTACAAACTATCGAACTGTGGTATATACTGATTATGCGCTATACATGATAATGTTACGTAAACAGGAACCGTGCGTTTGCCCACACGTGCACGTCAAAGTGAAGTGGTAACCGTGTTTCAATATAGTTTCGAGTTCAAAAACACGGCCCCCCTTCCATTTTCGTAGTTGGTGGCTAGACGGATCAGGGATCCCCCGACAAAACAACCAACTCACCCCGCTACTCGCTCGCTCTGTCTCTGTCTCTCTCTTATACGCTCCATGTGTGTCGCGGAATATGCATCTCACCCTACGGCCAGTTCTCACGTAAATGGACTGCTTGTGTGACTGTGTTTTCACGTTTCAGATTACAGTCGAACTTGCATCATAAGGCTTGTCTCACAACCGACGTCGGTGGCCGAAGCGGCTAGGTGCGAGCCTAGTGTGCGAAAGGTTGTGAGTTCGATTCCCCGTGGAACCGAGTTTTTCAACCGGAGGCTCCGGCAAGCGTGAGGTCGCTAATATAGTGACCGCCTGTACCGGTATGGGTTTTCTGTGGTTTCCCATGCTCTTCCTATGTTCTATAGGAGTGCGAATGCGGTGCAGTGTAGAATCCACAGTCGCATGCATAGCGTTGGATAGTGCTGATTGGCCAATCAGAAGGCAGAAAGGGCCGAAATATAAAAAAAAAAGGCTTGTCTCATAACACACTCTTCATTCAGGGATCACGTCTGATTTTGTATGAAGAGAGGGAAAAGGATATATTTGCGAAGATGTGAAATGATTTGAATGGATATTTTTTCGAAAATCAGATGGTAATTAGCCACATAAGAAAGAGTGGATATCCTTAGAGTTGAGGTATTTATGGCGGGGTGGGCATGTAGGAGGTGAGACGGAGGGGAATCTATTGGTCTCTCGCAGATAACCAATCGCTGAACAAAAAACGATATTTCAATTACAAATTTTCAATTTATTTCGACAGTTTTTGGGTTTAAAAATTTTTTTAAAATAACTTTTCTATTTTTTCCATATTTTAAGCTTTCTTTCATTTTTCAGGCTTGTCTTTTGGATAATTGGAAAATAATTAATATGGATCGAAAAGTGACGACGTCGTGCCGTGCAAAAGTTCATTCGTATTTGCCGCGCTTACCCCTCCACGATTCCTAACCTCGACGTTGTCGCTATTCCAAGTTGCGCACGCGGAATTTATATTTTTCATGAGTTTTTCAATTATCCCGTCTCAAGAATTCTCCTAGGCTACTTGGATTATCTTTTTTCATGTTCCTCCATGAAAGCTCCACCCAAGTGCGAAATTTCAGGAAAACGGCGACTTTTTTCTATTTTTAATATTTTTTTTTCCGAATTCCCATCAAGGCCCATGTTAAAATGCATTTTTCATAAAAATTCCTGTGTTTCGCCCATCCTCATAGGCTATTTGGGATTTTGCATAGGATTTTTGAAAAAATCAAAGAATGTAGGAAAAAAAATCATCAGTTTCGTGACTTTTTTTCGACCTTCCCTGACTATGCCATAAATACCTTAAGGTGTTTCGTGCGAAAAAGATAAATAATGACATTCATTTGGAATTCATATAGAATGTTTATAAACACAATCGAATTATCTTCGAATTTTCATGGATTTTTTTCCGATTTCCTTTTTAAGTTATTAACGATTGAAATCGGTTCTTATACATGGGCTCTTATGGAGATTCTTCTATTTTAGCATGAGACTGTGTTATTGTTACCACTGCAATGTAAAATTGTCCCTCCCGCCCGGCAAATTGTTATCTATTCGTCGAAGACTCGCCCAACAATGAAAAAAATTATTAATCGACTTTTTGATCGTCATTCAGATGCAATCACAGTGGAATTTATCGATATCCTGCCTCATTAAGATTAAGCGATATTGGAAATTCTTATCTGTGTCATTGTTGTGACAGATGGAATCTCTTAATTCAAGGAGAATCGAATTCATTCCAAAAATTCGGAACCGTATCAGCTGTGGATTCACGTGAACATATGTTTCGTTAAATTCTTCCTCGCGCCGGGTTCAACCAATTCCGATTTTTTTGCATCACCTATCCATTTAGCGATTACATTCAGCACTGCTTAGCTTTCATTATTCAGCCTGGTGATTTCAGCACTTTGAACCAGATGAACATGAGATTGTAATATTATTCTGCTATCAAAATCATACAGCTGAGTTTCGAAAATAGAAAAAAGTTCACTTCGAATAATTAATTAATTAAATTCAGGAAAAAAGTTATATATAGCGGTTCAAATTCGTCATTCGAGGTTATCGGATATTTGTTCGCTCTATCGGGAAAGAACTACTGAGTACTGTTGTACTATTCTTAACTCTAGTTGGTCACCCTACGCGACCCAGCGCCTTTGATCACGTCCGCGGGGAAGTGCCGCCGTGTTATTTAGGCCTGAACGTTGCCAAATTCACTGTACACTGCCCGGGCGCGTTTAGCGAATTTCCCGCAACGTCGCGTAACAGGCACTTTGATTTTTTTTTATATTCCGGCTCTTTCTGCCCTTTGATTGGCTAATCGGCCCTATCCAACCCTATGCATGCGGCTGTGGATTCTACACTGCACCGCATTCGCACTCCTATAGAACATAGGAGTAGCATGGGAAACCACAGAAAACCCATGCCGGTACAGGCGNGGAGTAGCATGGGAAACCACAGAAAACCTATGCCGGTACAGGCGATCACTATATTAGCGACCTCCCGCTCGCCGGAGCCTCCGGTTGAAAAACTCGGTTCCACGGGAATCGAACTCACAACCTTTCGCACACTAGGCTCGCATCGCACTTTGATTTAACATGGGAAAAAATTCCTCTGTTAGAAATAATTTGTTTTTTTTTTAGGAATTTTGAGAATTATGTTGTTCTATAACCATTAAAAATTTTTAGACACTTTGATTGGAAAAGTCAAATTTTTAAAAAATTTTACGATCAGTTAATCAATGGCAAT